AGCCATGGCAGTCTTCCAAAGCCTTCAGGAACTAAAGATGAATCTCAACCAGGGCCCCTGCCAGTGTGCAGATGTTTACCATCTGTCATGGTAAATGGACTGATTCTTATGTAGCGGTGTTCTACTCTCCTGGAGCGCTCAAAGCACTTCATACAACATGACACTTTCACCCATTCATACCCATACAAGCACATTTTTCTACGCTGCATCCTATCTAGCACTCACACACATTCATACTCCGATAGATGCATCGGAGAGCAATTTGGAGTTTAGTATCTTGCCCAAGGATATTTGGCTTGCAGACTGAGGGAGCCGGGGATAGTCAGTAGATGACCTGCTTTACCTCCTGAGCTACAGCCAGTATGAAGAAGTAATGATATGACTTGCTAATACCTTACTATCACCTTAGTAAGGCTTAATAGTGTGACATTATTATAAAGTTCTACCCAGTACAGTATAATATCTGCACCATGGAAGTCACTTCAAGACATGTCTGTGAAGAAAAGGTTTTTCAGTAAGGCATACATTTGACTCACTTTAGATGAGGGCAAACAAAATGCCAAACTATGAAACTAGTAACTCCCTGAATTGAACAATTAATTTATTAGATACTAATATGTATTAATGTAGGAGCACTGTTTTATAAACGATGAGCCAAATGCTTCATATTTATCCCAATATTTTTATATGACATAATTGCCAGACACAATAACCAGAATTTTATCTTATAATGTTATGGGCCGATGCAACAAGTCATATGATGCCGTTACTGCTATTGACGTTAAATGCCATAAGCAACTTTAAAACATTTTAAACAGGAACTAACTAGAAAAAAAAGTTGAGGTAAACTAAAAATGTCCCCGTGAAATCACTCTGATATAAACAAAAAAGACAAAGGAGCTTAAGAACTTCTGCAGGGAATCCACATGATGGAGCCAGACATCGCTGTCCTGAGTGATTCTGAGTGCTTACATTGTCTGTGAACACAACCCCCAGCTTCCAGATCTGGTACTTGACATCAACAGAGTTCAGCCTGTGAACATAGTGAGAAGACACAGAGTCTTTTTACATGTACATTAAATAGTAACAGTTTTCATGTTTTGATGAAAATGTGAACAGAAATGGTTTAAATGAAAGAGGCTCTCTGTTATGAGAACTGAAGATATCTTAGCTCCTTTACCTGGTATAACCACTTTGAAAACATATGTGAATGTGACAGGATCATGTCTTGTTCAGATAAACAATACTGTAGTTCTGTTTACATGACTGTACCTGCTATTCTTTGTTGCAGAAAATTTCTTATTAATCCAAATCCCCCATAGAGGATGACCCCATGGAACCATGACTTGTATGTATTTTATATTTCTCACTAATTTTCCCCTATCTCAGTTATTGTGCTGAGGTGTAGGGGAATACATATGAGACTTATATACATCCTCTATACTTGCTACAG